AAGCCAGGATGGATGAGTTAAACATTTTCTGTTACCACTGACTTGATGTAGATTTAGGGAAGTAAGTACACTCTGTGAGGTAACACCTGCCACTGGGTGTGGTCTGAGAAGCAAATCATATAAGAGTAGATGCAGATAGGTAAGTAAAAGAGGCACTCGCATATTAGATGGTGAGTAGGCTAGAGAGTGGTAACTGGAAGTATATGATATCCTGAGGGAGAGAAAATTGCCAGATGATGAAGGTAATGGGAGATAAAGGTGTTTGGTGGAGTCCATGTTCTAATTTAAAGGATGTCATCCAAGGGTCATTAATATTGTGAGGCCAGAGAGTAGGTCAAGTGGTAGAATGATGTGATGAGACATGATACAGCCTGTAAGCATCTCCAGCCAGAGAGGAATATATGATCCAAATGTGTTGACAAATCCATCCAGAAAGCATAAAGGATGAGAGATCCTTAGAAGAAGAAGGATCTCATGGCCGGAATGATCACAGGAACCCCGGAAATGGGCATGCAAGTAATACCTGACCACTTAAACTAGACAAAAACGACGATCAGGATCAGTATGGCCATACAGGGCCGAGATAAACACAAGAAAAGTGTGAGAGAAAAAGTTATCTCCCTCTCAAGCTTCCTAAATCATAGGAAGAAATAAGTTGTCAGGGAAAAATATCAAGAAAGATCTGTGAAGCAAAATACAGGAGGTATCCAATAAAGATCAAATCTGCAATGACCACAAGCAAGAAAGAGAAGGAAATGGGACTCTAGAGAGAGATGGTATATGGTCAATGGTTCAACTAGGGCCTAGGTAAGAACATGTAGAACCACATTAATGTTGCAGTTAGGCAAAGGAATCAGTCAAGGGGAATGATGAATGAAGGACCAGAATATGATGGAAATAACAGGGGAGAAAATGATAGAATCATAGCAGAAAAGTGAGAAGGTAGTCAACAAAATCCCCTGATAGTCTGCTATGGTAGAAACTGATAATCCTTTGGTCAAACAAACAAGTAAAGAAGGTTGAAAGGTGGACAATAGTAGTATATCCTGCTGGGAGAGAGTGATAGATGGATCAGCAGCAAGAAAACAGAGAGATAAACAAAGAGAGAATAGAAGAGTGACACAAATGGAATTAAATAAGGGCTACATGGTCAGAGAAACCTGATTGATGAGAAATGGATTGGACAAATCCCACACATGAAGACAAAAGGATAATACTCCAGGTGAAAAAGAGACATTAGGTTGTAGCTAAGGTTACACATACAGAAACAGATGAGAACAGTCCTGGCTGAAGGTACTCACAACTAGAGCAGCTTGGTGAAGTACTGGGGGCCAGAAGAAGAGAAGATTTGTCTGCTCAACTGGGAACAGATCCAACAAAAGACCTGAGGAAGGAATGACCACTCAGTAGGAAGAATCCTGTCTGGTCAAGAAAGATGATCTGTCGCTAAGTTCAGAGACATGAAAAGGTGTGTCAATGAACCCGATGTGGGTGAACCCAAAACAGAAAGTCCATCATGCAGAAGTAAAGAACCCTAAAATGAGTCCCACCCTAACAGTAGATATTGGTAATTACCATAGAATTGTCTGAGTGGATCACAATCAACTGATCAACAGGTTGAGGTAGGAAATAGGAACATCCCCGATGACCAGCCAATAATTCTAGAACACTGATGACCAAATTCCTGAGGTTGTGGAGTCTTCCAAAGACACACCTCAACTCAATCATAAGAGAGGTGTTGGTGAAAAGATGTAAGCATCGAAAAAGAGGACAGAGAATCACAGGATATATTCCACTGGTCATTCAAAGTCCATTAATGAAGCCTCACATGAACACAGTATACAAAGATAAATTGTTAGAGACATGAGAGTCCCCAAAAGAAATACAATCTCTTGTGCAGAAAGTATAGGAGAGGCAAGAGTTGAGGTGACTGGATGAAAATATTTTTTGCATATACTGATATAGAGGACAGCATTGAACAAGAATAGCTATTTATGTGAGAAGAGGTAATGTACCATATCGTAAAGTACTACTATTAGATATCCAGAAACACTATCAAGATCATTGTGTATGGCTTCAGAGGAGAAGAAGAGAGGATATGTAATGAAGATGTGGGTAAGAAAAAGTTAAGACAGGAAACTGATCACTAGAGAGAGTTACTGGTAAAAGGGCCTCCAAGGATGGAAAAGGGGAACTGTCATAACCCATGGCAAAGGAATTCTGCATGGAGTCGAGGAGAATGAGGCATTTGAGAGGATGAATGAAGCTTATCCAGAAATGTTTCAGCATGTGTACATATGTCTGGAGGAGGAGGAGGAAAACCAAATAATCCTCAGCCTGAGAGGCATATCATAAGAAACAAGAAGACATAGGTCCATTTCACATTTTTCAAACTGTGAAATGGACAAAAGTATTTTTATTATTCCAATGAATATCAACTTGTACTCCAATTTGTCAGAGTCTGTGTCAGACTGACATCATCAATTCACAGACTTACATTGAGTGACATATCAGTTGAAAGGTAATATATTTGGTATTAAAAGTAAAATTTAAAAGATTTTTTTCAGTTTGGTTCCAGTACTAATTCCAAACCACAAACTTATGGATTAAGCTTCTCATCTGTAAGATAGATAAAATTATTTAATTTCAATAAAACAAGCTATGCACTTGGTTTTTAAAATGTTTCATTACTTTATCTGCTATTCAACTATTAGAGAAACATGCAAGTTAACCATTATTTATAACATGTATATGAAAAACTATAGTTGAAAAATGCATAAAGGCCAACAAAGACATTTATCATCGATTTTTATTCATTACATTAGCAACAAAAAATAACCCTTTTATGCAATATAAATTGATAAAAAAAAAAAGAAAGAAAGAATTATCTTATGTATTGCTTTTTGTTTTCTTAATGTTTTGATTGAAAGACCATAAAAATCAAAAACAAGTAAACGTAAGGATTAAGATGATAAATCTTTGCATAGTTATGTTTTTAATCATTATGATATACAGTATCCAATAAAGATATTCAGTATATCTTTAATGACATACCTTTCCTTCACTGTTCATACCCCATCCTTCCGGGATACTTTCATTTTTCCTGTCTTGCATTTCTATCTAAAATAATCAGTATAGACAGAAGTTGTGTTTCAGTGTCTCTTATCATTAGGCCATCAAAATTTTTTCATCTTTTTCAAAAATAATTAAAACAAACTGCCTCAGAAAAAACGTGCAATTCAATTCAGTTTCTTCCCTAGAATGTTACAAATGTTTCTGTCTTTATAACTAATAAATACAAAAGAATAACTCTTAGACATCAGAACAAGGAAGGGCCAGAATAGCCAAGGTCTCCCATATCAAAAACAGGGAAGGCAGCAGGTCCACTTCAGTTTTCCATAAGTTTTGATATGTTTACAATTTCTCTAATTTAAATTGCATTATGTGGTCTAAAGTAATAACTCACTAAGCACAGATAAAAAATCTAAAATTATTTTCTAATATGCCTTGGTCCACATTATATCCCAATAAGCCCAAAATGATACTCTAACTGAAATAAATTTAGGGGGAGTATAGACCAAAATCCTGTTATATCTCTCTTGCCAAAGGTAGAAAGAAACACTTCTCTGAACCTTGATTCACTTTTAACTTTGCTCCTACACATGCAAATATTCCTTCCATTAATATTTATGAAACAGCTTTGCAAACAGTTGGATATAAATTGATTCTACCATCAAAACCTTTATGGACAAATTTTTTAAAGAAATTATAAGTTCCTATTCACATATGCATAATATATTTTCTTAATTATATTTGATACTTTAGCTTAGAGACAAGATCTGATGATGCAAGTCAGATCAAATCTGATAATGCAACAAAGTAATTATAGCTTATAATGTAACTTGAGGATGTTATGTTACAATGATTTTGAAGCCTCATCACATTGTTACAGTCCACATTACCACAATTTGTCATGCTCCATCTGACTACTGTGCATCATAACAACAGCCCTACAGTTAAGTTTCCATTGCAAGGGGCTCTGTTGTAAGGTTGTCATGACCATCTCATGGACAAGAACGATGATTTTTCAGTATCCATTTTAACAGACCAGTCACTAAAAAATCCATAGGCATTGCATCTGGTAATTTCAATAGTATGTCTTTGAATGGAATAGCATGAATACCCATTTCATTCTCCAGCTGCTTGAGTTACACAGTGGTTGAATGGGAGGATATGACTGGATGTCTTATCTTGGTGAGCCCATTCACTGTTGGCCTCGTTTCCAGATAGAGATCTATTTTAAGTAACATGGCGTTGCCTGAGGCACATAGACAGCTTTTGCACTGTACTTTTTTTTTTTGTAAATTCTCGTGCCTGTTACAAGATGCCACATTTTTGAAAGTTTCTTTCTGAACGATCCTTGTTGTCCAAAGTTGTTTCATATTTCTTTGTTTTCCAATGCATTTAAGTACAAGAGAAATTCTAAAATCCTCATCTGAACACATCTTTATGATCTGAGTGTATGAATTAATATTTTGCACTGGAAAGGGCTGTTACATATGCTTTCCAAAAATAATAAATTTTCCGTGTTATCCATTATGGACAAGACACCATACAAAGACAAAATGTAGTTTTGATACATGCCATTCCACAGCAACTCTATATTAGCTTTGATTACCACTTGTTACATGACTTTCTAACTTGCATATTAATATAATGTTCTCAAAACTGTATAACTCAGAGTTAAATCTCATAATATAACTTAAAACTGAGTTCTGTGTGGAACTTACAAATCTGAATGTTAGTCTAACTTCCAAATTGTATCTCATTAAAACTACTTTTCTAAACTATAGGAGCATATACAAAGATTGAAATTAAACTTTAATCACTGCAGCAACATTCCAGGACGTTTTCTTACATTTCAATCAATGATGTGACAGTTAAAGGGAATTTCCCTAAAAAACTGCAGGGGTTTGTACTAGTAATCAGTAATACTATCCTCCTTTAAATCTTTTTGCATTTCCTACTGCTAGTTATAAGTCACTCTGTTCTCTTAAATTCATAAAACTGTGTATTACACTGCTACCAATTAATTTGTCTCTTGCTGATATTCATTTACAGTAATTAAAAGTAAATTAATAATACAAAATGAAAAAATATTTAAAAATATGAATTGATCTATATTTCAAAAAGTGCAAAAGTGATCAACAATACATTAAAACATTGTACATTATATCTGCCATGTATAGTTACAACAAAAAGATAAAGAAATATCTAATGTAATTAAACACAAAATACGGTAACAAACAGGAAAGGAGGTAACACCAGAGAATTGAGAAAATACTACATACATGTGACTAGGAATCTGCAACACAGTTAACAAAATTAAATTTATTAAAACTGCTTTCATTGACAATAAAATATTAAAAATGCAAAAAGTATACATCTTTCATTCAGATCTAAACAAAGTAAACTGCCAATGTCTTACAGGCAAGCTGATATAACATCTTTCAACTGTAATTCATCACATGGTGTAACACAATACTCAAACTAAAAATAAGAAATGTAATACTAAAAATATATTAATACCTCAATCATGAAAAGAATATTTGATTTATCTGTAAGAATAAAATAACATGGGATGGCAAAGAAACATCTTGGTAAAGTATATTAGTATGCATAATCTTAACAATTAAAAACATACCATGTTTGTTAAAGTATTCCATCATCACAAAAATGTTATAACTTACACAATATTAATAAAAAAACCTTTAGTAAAGAATTTCTGTTCATTTACTTTTAACAATGAAAATTATTTCAGATTTATTAGTCATCCTGCTAAAGTATAGAATGATAAATTTGATCCTTTCTTTATCAAATGCAAATAATATTTTACCAACTTAAAATCTTGGGCTATTTAAATAGTTTGAGGATATAACACAGTTTCAACAATACAATTTATTTAAACTAATACCAATCACATGTTAACTATGTCCAATACAAGAAAAACATGAGTATATAAATAGAAAGCTGTTGCAGAATAACATTGAAAGTAAATTAGTTAACTTACTTTTCCAAGAGCAACAGCACAAGTAGCCATATCTAGTACAAAGCTGTCTCCATCTTTAGCGGGAGCTGCTAAGGTGATTGGATTGGTTCCCAAGACTGCCTGAATTCAAAACAGATTTTGGTCTATATGCTTATCACTGATTACAAGAAACTTTAAAATACAAAATCCTTCAAGAAGCATCTATTTACATTTTCAGTTGACAATCCAAAATGTACTCTGGCCCTTTCATTGCTGGCTTATTTCATCATTATTGAGTAAAGATACACAAAGCAAAATCTGCCTAGAGCCATCCCTAATTTTGAACTGATAAACTTGAAGGAAGACAGCTAGTCAACAGCATCCACCATCAACTCTTGAATACACTTGTTTGACCATATGACGGGATCCAGTCATCACTCTTATAGTACACTCATGGCCAAAAAGTGCAAGCATATTTTTACAGCAATGGGCTGCAAACATTTAACCCTCAGATCCATGGTTTGCAAGAACAAGCTAACTATTTGGCCATGCCAGGCCAAAGTGGAGAAGCATTTAAAAGGATAAAATATAAAATAAGTACTTTTGCTGCTCATTTAGAGGTATAATAATAGTGTAACTGAAATGTACTTAACAAATTCAGAAAAAGTTTTAGTTAAGTTTTTGAAAACAAAAGGTAATACCTAATATTATCTATAACTTAATAGACATAAGTTCTTATGCCTTAATAAGATTATCATAAGACAAACACTAGAACAGCTGATATACTGAAAACTTCCTGCATATGAAAGCTAGATATAATAATGATTTATTCAAAAATCACATTATTTTGTGTTTTTCAGTGGTGCTTTATGTTACAAGCAATAACAACAAACTACCAAGTCCATAGCCAGTGTGGGTTCAAGGGGGTACAAACCAATCCCCCACTCCTGCTGGAGTTACACTCACCTATTAACACATATTTTTTCCTTTATTTGATGATAGCCTCTCATTATATAATTGCTTTCGTAACACTGTGCATACATGCAAGAAAGAGCATTTGCATACTTATCAGAGGAAATTTACTAGAAATGTTTATTTGCAGTGATAACAAAGGAATCATTACATATTTTGGAAATTTCTTTTTCATCCTTGGGCACTAAAGTTACACTTGAAACAAGTTCCACTTTGGAGAAAAAGAAACCCCTCCACTTTCAGACCTGGCTACGGGCTTGAACTAGCATGAAAATATATAATAAACATCTTTGGATGAAATTCTGGAAAATTCTTAGTAACAGAAATATTTTAAATAGTATAAAGAATAAGCACTATATAAGGTTTCCAACCACTCATAAGATCTCAATTTATAATTCCTCATAAATTAAATGTCTAAGTTTGATTTATCATGTGAGGTGTAACAACTTTAGATATTATCTACTCATCACTGCTAAATGTAAAAACCTATATAGGATCAAGATATCAAAATAATCTATTTTCAGCTTATCAAAATTGCTCCTGCAATTTAATAATTTTTATGATATATTTTAACTTTAAAAGCCTATAAATAACTACCTTATACAATTTTTTTCTATTGGCATTGTGTTAGGCCTAATTTATGTTCTTCATAGAATAAAACTAAAACCAAACCACAAAAATACCTCTGCATTGTCTCCCTTTTGAAATGCTTTTTGTTTCATACATATGATTATTAAAGGTTGAAAAATTATAATTAAATTAAAATTATAAAAGATTAAAGTCTTACCTTTTTACCTCGAGTAGGAGCAACAAAGGGAGAGGTATTTGTAAATGACATACCCTGAAATAAAATATTTTAAATATATAACACCAGAATATAAATTGTTTGAATACAAAAAACACAAATATATTTTTTCTTAAACATATAAACCTTCCATTTTTGCATTAAACACCACTTTTTGAACACAACACCAAGATAAATTCTAGTTTACAGCCTCCCAGTGGCACAGTGGTATGTCTGCGGGCTTACAACTCTAGAATCCTGGTTTTCATACACGTGGTGGGCAGAGCACAGATAGCCCATTGTGTAGCTTTGTGCTTAATTACAAACAAACGAATCAAGCTAACAATACTAATTAATATAAATTCAGGTTTCTGGTGGTTGTACATTTGATTAATAATATAAATAGGAAAAAAAAATTTAAACAGAAAGTAGGGATCATTGGTTATTCGTAGAATTGCTTTATATAAGAAGTATCCAAAACAAAATAAATGCTACAATAAAAAGTACACGAACAAGTAAAGTAATACTAGTTGGATAGATTTTAAAATGATTTTCAATCCCTATTTTTGTTGGCATTGTGATCTGTATAGCTTAATGAAACAGTTTAAATCATTTTCAATCCCTACTTTGGTTGACATTGTGATCTGCATAGTTAAATGAAGCAGTTTAAATCATTTTAAAATCTATCCAACTAGTATCACTTTACTTTTTTATGTACTTTTTATTGCAGCATTTATTTTGTTTTGGATACTTCTTATAGCAATTCTACAAATAACCAACAATCCCTACTTTCCATTAAAATTTTAATTATTTTTCCTATTTATTTGTTCAGTTTTTATAAAGTTTTAGCATAGCTATATCCCTGACAGCTATAACTTTTACAAGAATTAAAATCACATTCACAAATTTATAAAATGTAATCCTTACTTTGGCCTACAGATAAGTGTATAAAGCTGTCAAAGTAGGGATTACATTTTATAAATTTGTGATTGTGGTTTTAATTCATGTTTCATTACTTTTTGTAGCAGGTTTTCTATTTCATTTTAAGATTCATAATTTTTCTATAATCTTGTTTATTTACTTTTTATGTTATACCTTAATAAAGTCTATACTTTACCTTCAGAAACTGTGGGGTGTCTATCTATTTGATTGGAATTGGGCTTAAAACATATGTGCATGATAGGCTTTACCATTTATAAAAAAATCTGTATGTATTTATTGGAATATCAGAAGCAGATACCCACAAACTAATCAGGTAAGCTAGAGAAATTTTGTAGCAATAGACTGAACCATCTAGGGTCTAGCCCCACTGATTGATGAGGTAGGTAAGTAGGTAGGTAGGTAGTAGATGAAAAAGTTGCTGTTTTAAAAATTTTTGAATTGTTATAGCAGAAATTTTAGCAACCTTTGTGGCATATTATCATTATTATTAGTAATATATATATATGCACATAATATATCATAACCAATACTTTAAATGGTCAGTTTTTCACCTAGCAATTCAATAGGGTGGTTTGTTGGTGCATGAATTATTTGGAAACCTTGTCCATCCCTACTATTAAGTACTACAGTACTTAATAATACTGGTAACTCCAGATATACAGTTCAGATAGAAGCACAGAATCATAATTGCTGATTAAAACTTTATGAGAGTTGCTAACAGAAATGTTCCAGCTGACTTGTATATAAAAATTAACATTATCAACTATGAAATTTATAGATATCTTCCACAAGTATTGTTTCTAATTTTTAAAATATATAGACAAAAATTTCAAAACTAATTTCAGAGTTTTTACTAAAACAAAACATTTAAAGAGAAGAGGACAGTTGCAGTTCAGAGCATTTTTTTATTTTTTTGGTAAAAAAAAAAAATGTGTATGTAATTTGTCTTTGACACTCAATTAGTATGAATCAAGTTTAAAATATACGACACTCAAAATTTTACCTAAATGGTAAATAAGCCAATGAAATAATATTATTCTAAACATAGATAACTATTATATTTCAGTGGTTCACTGAAGATGTTTTATATATTTACAACCATGTATAACTAAACAGAACATCTGAAGAAGTGGGAGGGCCCAGAAAGGCCACCTGTATAAATGAGATTGAGATTGATACACATAACAAATAGCATGATACAATTAATACTATGTAAATGAAATTCTAACTAGTAACGGCATTTAATTCATTAATAATTCTTATTTTGTATACCCTTGTATCTCTGAACAATGTATAAATATGGTACTAGAATGTGTGAATGGGATGGAAAAAGAAATTTTGTTTTCCTCATATTTTGACATTTAATCTCCATAACCTGTATAAAATGTGTCAAAATGTAAGTATCTAACAAGGAAAACTCTACAAATTCATGTTCATAATTATTTAGAAAAACTACAATTTTTTTTATAAAACATTACATCAAAGAGAAGGATAACATGTATTTTATGCATCATATTCAGAAAAAAAAAACAGCCACAAAACAAACATTCAACACTGGGGCACAAATCATAAGGTTGGTCATTATGCAATGTGCCCTGGTTTTTCGAGGTACTGGTAGAAGTATGCCCCAAATTGCATTGGGGTACACCATCTATCCAATTTAATCTCAACTTTACTGGTGTCATATGCATAGAAGAAGAAAAAAGGAGCCCACAATGTTCCACATTTTTACCACCTTTCACTGTCTGCAGCCAGATGTGGGAAGGTGGTTGCTCACAAAAAATAAACAACTAAAAGTTAGCATTCCAGCACCCAAAATGATGTTTGGACATAAATACCAAAATCTTAAAGGTATTGCTATCCTAAGCCCAACCAAAATTATTAGTATAGCTCCCATCCTCCACCCTTTAATGCTGCTATCTGGATCTTCAACAGTTGTAAAGAGATCCACACTGTAGCAAGTCTTATATAGGGAAAGTGACACAACTACATTCATCCATTAATGATAGCAATAATAATTCAGGACAAAAAAATCTAATTTGCAAGATTATTCAAAATAATAATGAACATTTTTATAAGAATATCATTAAATCATGACTATAGATCAAGCGAGTATTTGTAATAATATCTTCAACAAATGAAGCATCTTAGGTATTACAGTTTCATAGTTCTCTAATTAACAATCTAAATTAAAGTCTTAAGGTTTTTTTTATTGACCTGTCAATTAAACCAAGAGATTACATGTCACATGACCAACTACTTAACATTTATTTTATATTAATCAATCATGAAACTTAGTATCCATAATCACTTGTTTTAGTGTTTTTATATACTAATGACTTCTTTAATATTTAATGTTTAAAGTGGAAAACAGGTGAGCTGGCATTTAAAATTAACTATATAGCTGAGCCAAACAATGAAAAGAAGGTTACATAAACAATAAACAAAATCATAACTAAAATCGAAATCGAAATTGCTACCTCACAAGTGAATTTTCCCTTTCAACCCCCCCCCCCATACATATGCTTTTTAACAAAGGAGACAAAATTTATATCTATTTGAACAATAGAAATGGCATTCCCTTGAATTCAAGTACTACAATTAGCAAATAATAAACCAATAAATGTTGTACCTGTTAATTTCTAGTAAGGGACTAACCTTTTATAGGATGATGAGGTAGTGTTGCAGTGTGTATGTTCAATAATGAATAATATGAAATTATAAAATAAGTACTACATACCAACAAACCTTCTTTACAGGCCATCATACTGTACCATCCTGCTATTCCATAATGATTTGACCCTAAAAGACAATTTGATAAACATTGTATTTATTCATTACCTTCTCACTAATTCTTGCTAATAATAGAGACAATGCTATTTGCAATCAATTTCTGTTATGAATCATAGGAAAATTTCCTTCTCAGTCTAATTTAATGTCAATTGTAAAAACTTTCACTAATAACAAGTAGCACATAACTTATACATTGAAACAGGTTATGCATTATTAGTGTGGAAAATGCTGTCACAGTATTCCTAACAGTGGGTAACTAATATGATGATTGCAATAATAGCATCTTGAAAAACTTTGTATCATGCCTTGTTGATACATCTCTGAGCAAAGTTTTAAGTGTATTCTCATTCCTATTAAACAAAAAAGTTTATTTAAACAATAACTACATTGAACTTTAGGCCTTGTTTTTTTGTGTGTTTTTTATACTCAGGACAAATTGAACTTGCAATAATGCAAATATATTAAGTGTCTTTGGAGCTAGGACAATAACAACTGCCCTCACATAAAACAAAATAACATAAATCCTGACAACTACAGCAATGCTTACATCACAACCTCCACAGAACCAATCCTCATCTCAAATATTCCTGCAAAATTTATAATTTCATATAACTGCTACAATATATGACAACATACTATTCATGTCCCAACAAAGAACAAGCAGTCATAAGCACCATAAATAAATAAGACTGAATTTCAGATGAATAATGACAGAGGAAGGTAGTACAACCAACACTACTTTAACCAAGTATACCAGAGAATAACAGCTATGGCCATTTATTGTGTAAATTTCTATTAATTACGTTAACAAAGACATGAATTGATTACTTGCTACACTATACAAAACATGTTTCATTATGAAACCAGTAAAACCATAGTTATCCAATCTTCCCAGAATTTTGACTTAAGTTTCCATTTATTCTTTTCTTTTTAAATGCACAGAGTAATTAGAATGCATATATATATATATATATATATTATATATTTATTCATAAATTCTTAAATGCACAAAAGCTTTTAATCCACAAAAGACCTGTCCTCAGATCTTCCATCTAATATTATTGCATGAAGAGATATTGTAATATCCTCAAAAATACTGGGTGAATGCTTGCAATTGTATAACTCTTCAAGTTAAATATTTACTACAAGTCATTCAATCTGAAATATGTACACACACAAGGCTGACAAACACTGATAGTTCAGTTTAAGACTTTAATAAACATCAGATTGAATAAAATTAAAACCAGATAGTATATTTTGTAAACAATGATCACTACTTACCTTTGGCAACAACCCATCCAATACCACTCTCTTTGGCCTTCTTAATTGCTAACTTCATTGAGAAGTTTCCTACAACTGGACCCAATAAGTTCTTACCGTCAATGTAGGCAGTAGCAGCAGTTTCATTGATAATTTCTGGTTGCCCTTCTACACAACATATTTTTTTTTGCACATCATTCACATACATTTCTGCAAAGAAAACAATTAAAACTGTTACTATCACTCACAAATGTAGCTGCTTTCCCCACCATATTGATCTCTTGTTAGTAATTCATATATAAAAACTTATCTTTATTAGTCATTACTATTATAATTGTGCATTTTATTCTATGCTCAATAGAAAAATATCCTTTTTACTAGCATTATGGAAATGGTATTGTAACTGAACATACATTCTTAGTAATTTTCAGAAATTTACCTAGCAATAATGTGACAAAAGGTAACCAAATATTAATTGGTATTGTAGATTAGTATTAATAAAATGTATGTCACGAATTATCTTTCATGGTGGGAGTTTCAAGAAATCAAGTATGAAATATCATTTTAGGTTTCTGTTTCCTTTTTAATAGAACTGTACAATATTATTTTTCAACCAGTGTATTGTATATAAAACTCACATTAACATAAAATAACATAAAGTTTAGGGACAATAAGGGACATATTGGTCCATCTTGGCCATCCCATCCTCTAAAATAAACTAAATAAGTAAATTAATTTAGAAAAATAAAATATAAATCCTAAAGATGGCCCTTATGATTCATATAGATATCAAGCTTTCTCTTAAATTCATATAAATTATTGCCTTCACAACCAGGGGCGGATTGGGATGGCTAAGCGGCCCGGGACTGGGATCACAGAGTGGCCCTGGACAGGTTTTCTGTTAAACTTTTTATTCCGATGATAAAGTGAATTAAAAATTAATTATGAGATTTTAAAAAATCTATTGTTGTTCTATTGATTCATTCGATTACAAATTATAATAAATCCAACAAGAAAAGAATATTCAACAACAAAACATTTATTGCATCAAGCAACTACAAATGAAAAAATTTTCACAGAAACAGTTTATTTCTCAGAAGATCGCTTGAAATCCGTTTCATATGAAATATAAATTTTCACCTATAGCTTTACCGCTCTCAAAACTCACGCGACGTCCCTGTTCCACATTGTTATGTTTCTGCTACATGAAAGGATGCTTTTCATGTGATATTGTCATTTTAATAAAACGAAAAATAAATCATAAAGGTTGAAATGTGTCATAACTTTCTAAAATCGCACATTCAAGTATAAGAAAGCGAGAAAGTACATTC